GTTGATCTCTTTTTGTATTTCTTGATTCCATTCAAGTTACAGAATAAGTAGCTCTTGTTTATGTATCAGCATATATCTGTTTACTACTTAAGACAAATTCTGTTTTCCTTCTATTGAGTAAAAGAAAGAGTTGCTTTTATAGAGTATAAATCTGAATTCATTTCATACCTTTACTTCACCCTAACTGCACAGACACCACCTTCAGGGTATATAGTACATAATCAACTTAGGAAAAAATAATTTTGAAAAAAATCCCATTTCATTGTGGTTTCTCACATATTTTTAAATGACTGAAGCTATTTTTCAAAAAGCTACTTAAAAGCTTTCTAACAAAAATTTAGATCTTTTCTCTATACAATCACTACCCTGCCTATGACTAACTGATCTCTGAGGTTTAGACAGTAGCTTTGCTTAAGAAATATCATCTAAATTTTGTCAGAAACATAAAGTGAAATAAAATGCCCCTTCGACTTGAGGTAGTTTTGTAAAAAAGCAAAGAGGAAATGAAAATGGTTTCCAAAAATGTACTCTTTTGCTGCACGCTCAAACCTGAGTCCTTTTTGCCTAGTGTTCATTTTAAAAAGAGCCAGTTAGACTAAGGCGGGCAGATCATTTGAGGTCAAGAGTTCAAGACCAGCCTGGCCAACATGGTGAAACCCTGTCTCTACTAAAATTACAGAAATTAGCCAGGTATGGTGGCAGGTGCCTGTAATCCCAGCTACTAGGGAGGCTGAGTCAGGAGAATCGCTTGAACCCGGGAGGCAGAGGTTACAGTGAGCCGAGGTAGTGCCACTGCACTCCAGCCTGGGTGACAGAGCAAGACTCTGTTTCAAATAAATAAATTAATTAAAATGAAAAAATAAAAAGAACCAGTTGTGGATGATTGGGTGCTAGAAGTTCAGCACCTTTAGCTTGAGGACTTGAGGACTGTAATGAGAGGGGGACTAGCTGTTGTCCGTACATCTGATGGTTCCAGGAACTTGCCTAGGGAATGCTTCATCACCAAAGAAACACTTCCCTCACATCAAGTCTAGCGCCTTCGCATGTACAACTCATTTGACAAGCACCAGCTGTAAATAAGTCTGCACTCAGGAGCAGGAATATGTAGAGTCCTAGCACCTTCCGTAAGAATTATAAATTGCCCTATTTCAGGATGGAGTGAGATGCTTTAACAAAAGTTCAGAACAGCGGCAGATCTGGTACCAAATCTATTGCACACTAATTGTTTCAATGAGATAATTTTGAGGTAATTACACCTCACCAACCCACAAGTAACCCCGCTCAAGCTGTACTTAATCCAGTGTAGCTTGCTATTTTCAAAAGGTCAGGAAATCTCTTTCCTCACCTCTAACTGCTCACCTTTCTTGGGTGCACTATGGGGATGCATAATTCCAATGGAGTGGAAATTCAGTCGGTAAATGAACCCTGGACATAAATATTCATGGCAAAAACTTTTGGAAAAAAGTCAAGAAATGAGGCTAAGTAAATCACACCCCACCTCTAGAGGTGACTAAGATATGCTCTGACAATTTGCATGGATTTGTTTAAAATCTTTGCTTTGTTATTTAAGAACTATTTTCATGGCAACTAACACATCCCCTGGGCCAGTATTTGGGCACCACCTTCATGCTTTGGCTTATTGAAGAAGAAAGCAAGTGCATTTGGAGCCTCTCAAATTCTTCTTATTCCTGTGACACTTTATTCCTTCTCTACGGTTCTGGTCCTTAAAAAAATAATTCAAAGATTTAAACATTTTCTAACGCAGACAAATATATCTCAACTAACATAAAATTACTTGGAAGCTTGGAATATTTTGTACACTGGGAAGCCTGCTGTTGAATTCATTCATTGCCAAAGTTGGCTAAACAACACTCAAACATTGATTCTAATGTATTTTATAAATTATAAATTCTACTAAGTCAATAACCCTGCTCCCCTTTCCCATTCAAAATATGTATGTAGGTGTGAGATGTGTTTTATTATAAAAACAGCCATCCTTTAGTAATAACAATGACTTTTCTCTTTATTACTTATATGGTTTGGCTCTGTGTCCCTACCAAATCTCATGTCAACTTGTGGTCCCATGTGTGGAAGGAAGAACCTAGTAGAAGGTGATTGGATCATAAAGGTGGATTTTCCCCTTGCTGTTCCCATGATAGTGAGTGAGCTTTTCCAAGATTTGGTTGTTTAAAAGTGTGTAGCACTTCCCCCTTTGCTCTGTCTCTCCTGCTCTGCCATTGTAAGACATGCTTGCCTCCCCTTCACCTTCTTCCATGATTGTAAGTTTCCTGAGGCCTCCCCAGTCATACTTCCTGTACAGCCTGCAGAACTGTGAGTCACTTAAACCTCTTTCCTTCATAAATTACCCAGTCTCAGGTAGTTCTTTGTAGCAGTGTGAGAATGGACTGATACAATCACAAACACCAGACTTAACTCAAAGATGCTTTCAAAAAGTTACCTTTCATTCAAGATTCAACACACAGAAACCTCCTGGTGTGACTACAGTTGCAGAAGCAATACGTAAGGGGAAGACCTTTTATGACGCTTTACTTTGTACTTGATCTTCTTATGCCTTGGGAAAATTAGTAACAATTTCCCTTGTCAGGATGAGCCATGCACTAAGAACCATCCTGGGAGGAACCAGAAATTTTGGTTCTTTTTAGCATTTGATAATCAAACAGTGCAAGTAGCTATGCCTTGTGGTCTTGTGTTGTTGGACTTTGCCCAGTGGCAGTCAGTGTAAACTTGCCTGTTATAATTAACCAAATTCAGGATAAAGCAGAATTTCTTAATTCTATGCTATTAAAGTTGTTAAAATATTGATATACAAGTAATTGTTTTGTCTTATTTTTGTTCTCTTGTTTCTTTGTTGTACCATTGACTAGTGTGGGAAACCCCCTTAATCCAATGAATTTGAAGATTGGATTTAAGGATTAAAATCACAACTACCAGATAAAACTGTGAGAGTTCTGCTATGATCCCCCTGGTGGCACTCTTTTTTGGCAACACTTTCTTTTTAACTATAGATTAGCTTAGAAGGAGGTATGTGGCTCTAGTATGCTCCAAACATGTCTACCTTGTTCTTTATAGTTTTCTCAATTCTGCTACATGATATAAAAAGAAAAATAATATCTTTTTACAAATTCTTGTGGTAATCCTATATGTAATTATATAAATAGCTTTGAAGAAGTCTACTTGATTACCTTCTTGAAAATTGTGGATTAACGCACTAAAAGGTCACCTTATCCTTCCACTACCAAATTGTAAAAGAAAGAGGAAGACAGCATGTATGTGTTTAGTGGCTCTTGTAAATGTGATGCCATATCTTGTATTTTTCATCCTTGATTGTGGCAAGACCACAGGGCTGTAGAGCAGGACTATGTCGTCTTATGCTTGCTTTATGTGTGACCTTAGTCAAGTTGCTTCCCCTCTTCTTGGACTCAGTTTCCTTACTCTTACAGCTGCTGGTCCAGCAGGTGTTCAGGAAATGGTTTGGAAAATGACTCCTTTCTGCCTTAAAGTATAATGTTTTAGGTGGACAAAAATGAATGTTCCTTCTTTGGGATCTGGGCCTTCCATCTTAAAAGATCTATTTCCTGTCACATTTTCTATAGTATGTGCTTATGAGCCTCAGGTGGAAAACAAGCAGTTAGCCTTTGGAAGGGCTACAGGTACATGCAACCTTCCTGACATATAAATTGTTTTAAAACGGATTTGGTGAGACATGAATATACCATTCCAAATTCAAACCCAAACTCAAAATTTTTCTTTTCTATTTCTTATTTTCCAGGGATTTCCAAGAATAGTCATTTCATAGTTTAGTTGTGAAATAAAATCCTCATATCACTATCCAGGGATGTTGAACCATAACTAAGGGGAACTAGAAAATGTACCATTTGCTCTCTTATGGCTTTCACTATGATCTTGTGAGGTTTTTATTATTACTATTTTTAGTAATCATCTCAGCAATATAATCAGAGCAAAAAAAGATTCTAAAGGCACAAATCAAAGAGGAATCTTAGTTTTCAGTAGGAATATCCTCTCAGTCCCCTTTCTTCAATCTTCTGGTTTCATAAAAGAGGTGATGTCATAATTTATGATGTTAAGCTGACTAGTGAAATGTCATTGTAGAAGTGATGTTTTAATTGATGATGTTAGGCTGGTTAGCAAGAAAGTGTCAAATGTCACTTTTCTGACATAAACTGGCAGTTACGATTATATAATATCAATTATTCTTTGGAAAACTGCATTAGATCAGTTAGAGCTGAACCAATTTAGTTTAAGCAGGTTCATATTATTTTTTCCTAGCCGCTCATCCATTTCTAATTATTAGGAGTAAGATACACTTTGGATGTAGTTTAGACTTTGATAATGTCCTCTTTGGAAAGGTAATGGGTGTCTTACATGGCCTTTGTGTTGCAAAAAGAGGTACAAGCAAAGTCTGTAATGACCTTCCTGAAAGGAGGCTGCACTTTGAATTGCTTTAGCAAATCATCCTCCTCCCAAATTAAAACTCTTGGAATTATTTTAATTGTCAATTGCAATTTAAGTGAAATATGACATTGTGAAGGAATAGTTTTTAAAAAGTCTTAGCTTATTTTGGTTTTCTATGCATGCCAGCTGCTAAGTTAATTTAAATTTAACCACAAAATACTAAGCACACTTGCCTCTGCCCTTTCCTTTGCTTTCCAAGTAAAAAGAAAAAAGGGAAGTGAAGAAATGTTTTCTCAGATTCTTTCTCCTTTACTAGGATATCATTTTGAAAATGTGATGAGTTAATTAGAAGGATATAGGAACTCACAACTCAAAAACTGAATGATTAGATTAATAGTAATAACAAATACCATGATATCAATAGCTACTATTTGTTGCAATTACTATATCCAGGCACTGTGCTAATCCTGTAGATGTAGTCCCTTATTTATTCCTCACAACAAATCTGTGAACTAGATATGATTGGTATCATTTTGCATATGAGAAAAAAGGAGGCTTACAAGTACTTTGGCATGAATCAGAAAATAAACATTTTGTAAATGTTAAGTATTTTCGGGAGTATTAGTATCGTTTGGTGGAAGACAATCATGGGGAAATACATCAACAGAGGGAGTCACCTTTCTCAACCTCTATCATGATCATACCCAAGGTGAAGCGTGGCAGCTGAATCCCAGTGTGAAGGTTCAGTGCTAGCATAAAGAAGAGCAAGGAGAAGTTGGTGAAGCTGGGGCAAAGTGAGGATATGTGTGTGTGCAGGTGTGTATGTTTGTGCATAAATTTGCATGTGCATGTTTGTGTGCATGTATGTATGCACAGGTGTGTGCAAATGTAGACTTGTGTGTACACGTTTGTGCACATGTACATACACATATGTGCACCTATGTTTAGGGAGTAGGAACCAGGATGGGGAGGAAGTATAGAGTAGTGCCAACACAGGAGTGATATCAGCCTCCTTTAACATGTCTAGTGCAACCTGACCATCGGGTACAGATTTAAGAACAGACCATCCTTCTAGAGTAGGGTCCAGGAGGTGTCATGTTGAGCTTGGCATTGACTATCCAATGTCTGGATTTTGGGCTGGTCCAGTGGGGTAGACTTATGGGGGAGGGGTTAGAGGGACTAAGGCAGCAGGTAGGCTCTGAGGGGGTGGTGTATACTTACCACGTGGCACAGCTGTATTTCAAAAACTGAAGAGCAGATACAGTCCTACCATTCAAAGCTGAGGACATAAACTCATAGATTATTGGCCTTCTCTTGTTCCTGCCATATCTCCTATTTCCAGTTCTACCCACACTTACTCAAAAATGAGCTGCCTTCTTTCCACTGCTATAGAAGGGATTTCCTCCAAAACATTAAGCTCATAGATTTTTTTCAAACACTTTAGTTCTACAGGACTGCTTTCCTTCTTACAGGTATTATGACTGTGTGTGTGTGTGTGTGTGTGTGTGTGTGTGTGTGTGTGTGAAAACTAGAAAAAATTCAAACCTGGGGCTGAATCAGTCCATTGGAATCACAAAGGAATGTGAAGTTGTAAGACAATATCAGACATTCTAGAACTTGGGTGAAAGGTTTTCACATTCCCTCTCGGGTTCTGTCAAACCACATCACAAAAAGAAATTAATCAATAAACATATCAAATGAGAAAACATCACATTTTTGTCCTTGGCAGCATTGTATGGCTTCATGATGCTTCCTCATGGCAGGTTATTGTATGTGCCTCGGTTCAAGTCTCTTCCCTTTGTTCTCTTCTCCTTCTCTACCTTGGTTTCACCTTGGTTTAGGAGCAAAGCCAAAGTATTTCATTTGGAATCTGAGGAAAAGACAGAAATGATTCCCGGGATTTTGAACTTTCCTCTCTTGCTCCAACCTACAAGAGAGGCAACTCCGGAGAAGGTGGGACAAATAACAACTAACACTTGTCTAGTACTTTGTGATTTTGCAAAGTGCTTTTATAGATAAACTCACTGTTTCTCACAACAGCTTTGTGACATCATGATTATTGTTTCCCCTGGCAGAAAACAAAATGTCTCAAATAAGTTAAGCAAACAGCTAATAGGTTTTCTGAGATACCATGATGTCTCCAATGTAATGTGGGATTTTTTAACCTATCCTCACTCAGGTTATTAGGGGAAATCCTCAGCACCCATGCCAGGACTCTAAAATCATGTAGGCTTGAACTTTCCTTGATTTAAATAATGACCATGACTCGCTTGCTCGCTCACTCACTCACTCCAGTTCCAATGGAGACTTGAAGTCAGTGGGTTAATGCTTTTTCCTTTTTCCCTTTTTCTATTACAGGAAATAAATACCTTTTTGAGATACGTTTTATTGAGCAAATGCTGATTGACCTTCTATTATGTGTCAAATGCTGTCCTATGGCTTGGAATATGATTGTTAGCCAAATCTTGCCTTTCTACAGTTTGCATTCTCATGGAGTGGGGCCTAAAAAAATTTTGATAATGAATGCGGCACTAGGTATTCTATGACAGTTCTTTGCATTAGAAACAAGTCACTAGGTTTAGCTCACAAACAAGGAGAGAGGATTGCACTGGGCATGTGTACCAGTAGTTGGTGGTCTTTGGAAGCCATTTTAAAGAAATTTCTATCAAAGGATCTGAGAATGTCTCTCAGAGGCCCAAAATATCCCTCCCCAACAATGACATGCTTAATAAGTAAAATCTATAAGCCAACTTCTCCCTTCATATGATGATTTTCTGTGTCTCATAGCTTCAATGTCTATCTCTTAATTTCCACTAAGAAACAAGCAACTAAAGACTTGAGGTGTTACCCTTTTGAGGGTTAATTCGCTCTCCACAAGGGTTTTCCACAGCTGAAAATCTTTTTATTAGATTAACTCTTAAGCATCATATCTGATCTTCTAAGCCACACCTATATCCTGTGGCAGCCGCTGTTGAAACCAACAGTTCTGTGTAGGCTCCAGTCAGTTTCCAGTAGGTACGGCTTTGCTTCAGGCCCGAAATGCACACCTCTTGCCTCCCGCAGGTGCGGACTTTCTTTACCGATGTCACTGCATTGAGAACTGTAGAAACTTAGTGTCCAAGAACATGCATCCTGAAAGTGGGAGTGCTTAATACCAGGTTAGAAGAAATGTTCACCAATGGGCACTGGAAGTCAGTGGGTAAATGCTTCTTCATTTGACTTTTCCTGCCTCAGGAACATTTTGCAAAGCATTTCATTCTGCTTCTCAGATGAGCTCACAAGACTGAACAACTGGTCACCCGTGGTGATATACTTGCATGGACTCTCTCTCCTCCCTTGTTATATTCTGGTTCCCTGGAACTACATTTCCAAATAAATTACTCACACATGGCCTTTTTCTTACACTTTGCTTCTTATGGAATCTAGGTGAAAACAGTCTTTAGGCTTTAATGGCTCAAAAAAGAGTAGAATCAATACATTACTGATGATGAGATTCTGTGCTATATACAATACACCTAAGCTTCAGTAGTTACAATGGCATTTTATGAGGTATGTGACTTACAAGGCATTGCCCATGCTGGGCACTGGAATATTCATTCTCATAGTCACTTACCACACTGGGCTCATACATTTCTATTGTGATAGTTAGAGGGTTTTAAAAATTTGAGCCATATAAAATGAAGATGATGACAACAACAAAAACAATGAGTAAGACTCACTCTATAATGAGAATCACATGATATTTTGAAAGTGTTTATACACATGCACTTATTCTGGGCAAAGTTATCAGGATGAACACCAGCAATGACATTTGGTGCAGGCTGAAACTCAGCGGCAGAAGGGTCAGCAGGCCCTGAGTTCTCTGCTCACCCTGCAGGGCTGTGCTTGACCAGGGAAGCTACTGGATATACCATGAAGCTATTACTCCCTTGAAGGAACCTCAGTCTCTACTGCTATCCCTTTTTATAATGCTATTGTGTGAGAATACTTAGTTTAGGACCAATGTTTTTAAGGATGTTCTGAAAAAAATATAGATGACCAGCATCTGGAAATCTTAGGGTTTCTGGTTACTTAGGAAGTGATTTGAGTGCAGTCTCTCATGCAGTCTCACACCCCATCACCAAAGAAGGAGGCCATTAGTCCCAGATAGGTCATTTTAAGGGAAGCCAAGGTCATTGTCAGAGAGCTCCAAGGTCATTTATCAGAAAATCCTACCCACCTCTTTACAAAATATAACAGATACACAGTGGGCTTGGGTGATGATTTTCCACTTCCTCACAATTTAGGATTTAGTGATAACCTTTAGCCAGTGTGTCCAAGAGAATATTCTTGAATGGCTCCTCATTCTTTATTTGCCAAATTTGGCTCCTATCCCACATCATTTATACCTCTTGGTTGGGCAAGGTATGCTTCTGCTTTCAAAGGTTTTATTATTGAGTGTTATTCTTCCTTAGGCCCTTCACAAGAGCAGAGTCATCAAGTTGAGTCCTCATCAAGTGATTTTCATGAAAAGTTGCCTGCATCCATCATCCTCTGTGGAGTGCTAGCTGTGGCTGGCTCTAGGAGGTTGCTGTACCTCTCTAGCTCTTAAAGCCATCCTGCAATGTCTGCCTTCTCTGTTGCTGGATTAATAGGTTCTCCTATGGACTTTGAAATTGGCTTGGTGGATATTGGAGCCATGCAGGAAAAAAAAAAAGACATTAAAACATTTCTTTTCCAAAAAAATTTTTTTTTGCTTGCAATTGCAATTGAAAAGAAGTCCCATTTTTGTAATATGACAAGGTGCTCTCTGTGAATAACACCATTAGATTTCCTGTCAGCTACCCTGGCATAAGAGGAGATCCAAGGTGTTACCATTTTATTTCGTTGCTTTGTAGGTTTCACTAGGTAACATGATAAGCATGTCGTGTTAGGGCAGCGATATTGTGGGCACCTGAGAGATCTTCTCAGTTCCTTTGGTAGGAAAGCTTCTAAAATGGCCCCAGTGGTCTCCACCTCCTGGCATCCCTGTCCTTCTATAGACTCCTTCCCTTGTATGTGGTCTGAAGCTAGTGACTTACTTCTAATGCAGAAGTGATGGTGACTTCCATCTGGAAGGCACCTTCTCTTTTCATTTTGACTGCTTTAATGAAGCTGGCTCCCATATTAGAGCATGTGACATCATATGGCAAAGAATTGAGGGATGCCTCCAACCAACACACAGCAAGGAAAGAAACCCCCAGCCCAACAGTCACGAGGAACTGAATCCTGCTAACGAACGAGACAGTCAGCTAGGAAGCACATCTTTTCGGTTAAAGATGAGATGACCACAGGCCTGGCTGACAAGATGATTGCCTCCTGAGAGAGATCCTAAAGCCAAAGACCCAGCTCATCCAGCCCAGATTCCTGATCCACAGATAAATAAATGGTTTTGGGGTACTTCATTACACTGCAATAGGTAATAAATGCAGTCCTGCTCCAATTACAGGGGTTAGGAGGCTGTCTCTCTTTTTTGAGCCATTGCAACAGCATCCTCTGGTCATAATGCCCAGGAAATGTCTGTAATCTATGATCTCCTTTGAATGCAGGCAGCCATTTTCCACTCCTGGATCACTAAGCAACATTCAACCTGTCAGAAACTAGGGCATACAAATTCTATTATAGCCACTATATTTAACACAGGAGCCTGGATAATAAGGTCAGAGACATATTTTACAGCCTTAGCCTGGCATCACATCTTTTCTGGACTAAGGGCATTTTATATGGTTCTGATTGAAAATAGCAGTTATTTTTCCCCCTGATCGGTTATCTTTACTGAAAATGTACATTGCTGCCGCTCCTGACAAGGAGGACTTGTATTAGACACCATGGGCTTGCACCTGAATACCCAAGTGATGCATTACATGAATATAATTTACATAATGAGCCAGGCAAAAGGCATGTGTTAGACTGTACATGCTTGTCAACATTTAAAAATCTTGCAATCCTGACAGAGAGCTGCCTCTTAGAGTGAAGAAAAGAGTGACACTCATCCCTCCAGCCTTCAAACTCTTATCTGTTGCCATGCCACAAATATTACTCATGGAGGATATTCAGATAATTCACACCAAGAAATAAACCTGTTACAGGTTAAAATGTTTATAAAACTAGCATATTGGACTTATCAGGCTACCTTAGAGCAGATTATTTTTCTAATTTTTCAATAAATATGAAAGATTAAATTCAAGCGCCAAGGGGATTTTATGGTTAAGTCACAATTTATAAGTGGGCATTAATTAACATCAGATAAAAATGAGATTCCTAAGGAATTATATTTTGCCTTCTCATTAGTGGCTGTTTTATCATTATAAACCTTGCTAGAATGAATAATTAAGAAATTGTAATAAATAACTATATTATAGAAAGGCCCTGAGATAATGAAAACTACAGTGTTTGGCACAAGTTTTAGTCAATACCTCTAGATCTGGGTCACATGCCATCCCTTTGGCTACATTTATAACCTAAAGATTGACTAGTCTATAACAATTAAACTTGAATTTCAGGATTATTTTAACTTTTTATTAGGTTTGAACATCCTGAGATCAGG